GAATACAGAGCACAATAATACATATTGCTAAGAGAAGTATGTGATAAACTACAAAGCCCACTCTTCATGTTGATCAAAAACAAGACAAAAATGATGTATATAATATCAAATATAGAGATCATCTAAAACTATGTATCTACGTGACTTTTTTGTATAAATCAACCAACCAGAATTGTGAAATTTTGTTTATATAGATCAGCCCAAAGAAGTTAAAAAATAAAAAAAAATACAAAAAGATGAAAATAACAGTCTTAACCTTTCTTGGAATATTAATTAAAAATATTGAAAAGGCAATTTTATCTATACTTCTCTTCTTATATTAATATCCAACTAACTCTAATCCTAACCTTAATTTTAATTTAAATGATTAAAACATTAAAATTATGTGGATATATAGCTTTAGCTATCTCTAAATATAGCAATAGTATATTAGAATATAATTAATATTAAAACTATATGACAGAACCAAATCATATACCATATTACAGAACTTATAGCAAAACTGAATAATAAAAAAAATATACTGTAGGTGAAGCAATATAAAACAGATTCAACTAAATCTAAAAAGTAGCAAATGTATACTAGATCTTAATATATAAAAGCTAGAGCAAATCAATATTAGAAACAATTTGTACTTTAGAATTATAAAAGAAGCAAAAAAGCTCAAAATAGATATTAGATCAGCAGAGTTGGAAGAGAACTTGTAGTTATATAAAGACATATAGGCAGATTTTTAGAATTTATATTAGGGCCAAATTTTTTTTAAAACTTTAAGATTAAATAACTCTTAATATAAAAGTTTTTTTAAAATAATTTTATTATTATTGTGTTCATCTCTTTAAGATAATTCTAACAAGCCCAAAATTATTTAAATCCAATTACAGGATCATGAGATATTGTACTATCAAATAATGATACACCTCATGGGTAAGAATGATTGGTTAGACCTAGGTCTAACCAATCCTTCCTACTTATGAGGTGCGTCACTATTTGACAGTACAATATCTCATGATCCTGTAATTAGATTTAAATAATTTTGGGCTTGTTAGAATTATCTTAAAGAGATGAACATAATAATAATAAAATTATTTTAAAAAACTTTTATATTAAGAGTTATTTAATCTTAAAGTTTTAAAAAAAATTTGGTCTAATATAAATTTCAAAAATCCACTTATATAGAAGTGACTGAAATCATGAATCTACTCAAAAAAAAATATAGACCAAGCTTTGAACAAGAAAAAACAATGAATATTTTCATACTCGAACAAATACTAGATAGCAAGAGAGAGTTATTGCTTACCTAAAAACAAATAAAAAGGTTAAGAAATCACAGCACAAAAGACAGAAAGGTGATGTGGTTTCAAGAAATAGAAAAACTAGTTATCAGAAATAATATGAGCAGGGATATCAAAAAAGAATTCAAAAGAGGTTCAAAAAACTACGATTTTATCTAAATGAAATTGAAGGACATTAGCAATAACAGAAGACAGAAAAAGTGAATAGTATTTAGAAAAAAAAATAAAAAAGCAAAGATAGAAAAAATAACTCAGAAATATAGTTACAAGAGGTTTGAAATAGAATACTGGGCTAAAAAAACTATATAGAGGGGGGAAAATTAGTTTTAGAACCTTGCAAAGAGTATACAGATAATATGATAAACAAAAAATAAAACATGTCTCATTAAAAAACAATTTAAAGAGACAAAAAGAGTAATAGACAAGCACCTGGTAAGAAGAATCAAAGTTAATAGACAAACAAAAATCAAAACAATAGTACTATAGAAAAGCATAATTGGCAAGACTAAAATGATAATACAAGAAGAATAGGAAGCAAGAGATAGCCAACAAAAAATAACAATTAATATAAGATTCTTATACAAAGAAATTATTTAATAGTATACAAAAGATGATTAGCTATTAAGAAGCTTAAAAATATAGCAAGAAAAATCACAGAAATTAAGAAATTCATAGTCTACACAGATGAGTTACTAATAAAAACCCAAGAGAAACAAGAATAAAAATAAGATGAATACTGTCAACAAGAGTAGAAGAAAGAAATAAGACAGAAGTATAGTTCAAATATGCTATGATAGGGTGGCCATCATTAACAAGAGCTAAACTTGGTGCAATTTTAATAGTTCTATTAGCAGTTTCAAAAGAAACAGATTTACAAATAAATACAGATAGCCAAGCAACAATTCAAATGATCAAGAACTCTAAAAAAATAAATAAAATAAGAAACTATTTCAAGACAAAAATTAAAAGCTTAATATAGCAAATAAAAAAAATAAGAAGAATCAAGAAAATCAAACTAAAAATATATAAAGTAAAAGATCATAGCGAAATTGAAAGAAACAAAGAAGCAGACAGATTAGTGAAAGAAGATACTATATCAGACAAGTTTATAAAAATTTAAATACCCTGAAACAAATATATGCAAATAGTACCAAGTTGAAATAAAATAGTGATTGATAGCTTAATACAAAAATTTGTAAATTAAGTTATAATATCAATACTAGATGCAGAATAGACAAGTCTAAAGAGGATAGAAACTTGAGTGAAAAAGAAGGAAAAGAAAAAAGTAGATTAGAAAGAAATATAAAGATATATAGAAAAAATGAAGAGTAATAACTGTTTGGATAGCAGAAATAATAATAGATAGATTTTTAGAGTCAAATACCTTAATAAATCACTGCCGACAATATCAGAATTAAAAATAAGAAGACCAAACTTAAATAAGACAAATAAATATATAATATATTACACAGAATCTGAAATGATAAATTATCTAACAAACTATAAGGAATTTAAAAGGTCTGATACAAGACAAAGAAAAACAAATATCGAGAATCTAGTACAAGAGAAGAATATAGCAAAAAAGGTGATAGGCAAGATATTAAATAAATTTAAAAAAAGATTCTATCAACATATATGAAATCTAAGGTATGAAATACAAAATAAATAAGAAAAGAAAAAAAAAATCTCAAAGAAGAACAAAAGAACCAAAAAGAGAAGAGAAACCCAAAAAACCTATATAGACAAAAAAAACATCCCAGATCCAAAAAGAAAAAGAAAAGAAGAACATAAACTAATGATGTTTAAGAACATTAAGAATCTGGATCAGTATAGATCAAAACCAACATAGTTATCTCTAACAAGATGCAAAGTAAGTTCTAATTCAATAAAATAAGACAGTACTAACAAGACACATAACCACTAGTCAACAACTAAAAGAAAAAAAATCCCTAGTAAGTTAGGAACCCCAAAAAAGACCAATGACTACTGAGGCAGATCACATTAGGCAAAAGCTTGGTGAGCTACCTGTTTGGTTAAATTAGTATAGCTATAAATAGAAATTCATATAATTTTTTAAATAGTTTTAATCTCAAATAAATTACAAAAAAAACTTGATATTTGAAACTTACTAATGCTAAAAAATGTTTTTTTTTTAGTTGTGAAGTATTATGACACACTATGCATATTGATATTCATATTGCGTTAAGATATCCTTTTTTATATTTTGTATTTTGCTGATCTCATCCTGCGACTGCCCCAAAGAGGAAAAAGAGAAAAAAGCATAACTACACCATAATACCCAGCTTTTCTCAAGCCTTGATAAGAATTGATTAATTTTTGTATCATTTCGATTCGTCTCAGTAAAACGAATCGAATGGTACTAAATTTATTCGATTCTGATCAGTGTATCGCAAGATATCATCCAAAAACATAGGTGCGCCACAATACCTGACCCTCCCTTATGGTTTAAGAAACAATGATTTTATACGTATATAAATATACTATATACTGTATTATACAGTCGACTTTTTTTAATTGCAGCTCGCCAGGAAAAAATTTTCATTTAAAGAGAACCTGAATATATATATTACTATAACCTCATATAGCTTGGAACCAAAGCTAAACCTGAGGGTCGACTGTATATAAACTAAATGCTAAAAAACTGTTTTTTATATTATAAAAACTTTATTAAATCATAATATGTAAAATCTTATTAATAAAATAGCATTTGTCCAAAAGTTAATTTTAAATAAAAAATTTTTCTTGAAAAACCGATAATTTTGTTTATTTTTACCAGCACCTAACCCATATAATTAATATAAAAATCGTGTAACTGATAATTAAAGCTGGCTAAAATTTGAAACAATTCTGAAAACAAGTTGGCATCATCCAAATTTCATGTGTTAACAAAATTAACCAGTCGAATCGAAACGTATATAATACGAAAAATGGTACCAATTATTGCTTTATTTCTTACTATAGCAATTAAAACTCAAAATTTATAAATTTACAATAAAATAAAAATAGTTAAATAAATAATTAAAAATTATATAAAACAATTTAATATAGTACCTGAGAATTATTCCAGACCAACATGAACATATTTACTATATTTCTAATAATCCATAGACATATAAACAGCATACGCTAATTTTAATTTATAATTCTTTAGAAATAATTAAAATACTGTAAAACCAAATTTGATAAAATTGATAGTAATCATACCTACATGATACGTTTAAAACGGAAATTTGATTAGGCCTAATACATAGAACAATAATTTTTGAATTGTTATAGCATTTGCATTTACGAATTATAATCTGAATTTTAAACAAAGTAGTGGTACATACACTTCATGAAAAGAAAAATAAAGTGATGGTACATATGAATATGCAATGAAATTTATTTATGGCATACCTTTATGAATCGATACATCTTTGAAAAAAAAGATCCTTACAAATCTGAATTTCATTGAAAATTCAATTTTAATATATTCTTTAACTTTCGGTATTTTTAATGCTTTTGGAAACCTGTATATAAGACATGTAACATCACACCATGTTTAAGACTAGAATGAAACAAATTTAGGACAAATAAAAATCATAAAAAAAAAAAAAAAAAAAAAAAATCAAAAAAAAAAGGGGAAAGAAAAGAAAAAAAAAAACTCGAATGCTGGTATAATCCTATGATATCTAAGCACCAAACCTATGTCCTACTCTTTCCCCTTCTTCTTTCCATAATCTGTATTCTTGCTTCTGCGTCCTCCTGTGCGACAGTTTTGTAAAATAAAGAAGGTTTTGTATTTGTACGAGGAAAAAGGAGTTCAGGCGCGACATGATTTACGTTTTGCCGCACATTTGATATAGTTGCTGAATAATTAAAAATATATATATATATACTATTTAGAATCAAGATCAAAAAAGATGACAGGAAAAAATGCGTAACGATATATACTATTATTTTTTCCGTTAGATCGTGTATCACGACTATCACGACCTACAGGCGGAATTGTTTTTGCTTCCTCAGTCGCGATTAA